CGACTAATGAGACATCAATGAGTAGTCAGATTAGGAATGATGTCGCTATTATCTATGAAAATCTTCGTAGAGTAGTTCATAGGAGTGGAGACATGGGTAAATGCAAGCATACGACTATGAGCAAAGAAGATTAGGAGTATACTTACGTTGAGAAAGATGTAAACCAACATTGCTTCAGGTCACTTCAAAACCAAGAAAGTAGGTGAGATCTCTCAAATCATTAACCTTGAATGTCTCATCTAAATGCTAAGTGATGTGAAATATTTTACCTGGATTATTGCCAATTAGTAGAATATCATCAACATAGATGAGAAAAGTTGCAATGCTCGAACTTGTAATCTTTAGAAATAGTGAGTGATTGACAAAAGATTGTTTGTAATTGTTGGATATAAGAAAGATTAAGAGTTTGGTATACAATTTTCAATCAAATTGTTTGAGCCTATAGAGAGATTTGTGAAGATGACAAACTTTTGTGTATTATAGGAGGTATTAAGAGGTAGTTTCATATATAATTCCTCATCTAAGTCGTCATGAAGGAAAACATTGTGAACATCTAATTGTTTTAGGCGTCAATTATGAATGATGAATATATAAGGAGAAGAGAAGTCGAATAATTGTGAGCTTAGTCACAGGGAAGAATGTTTCATTATAATCAAGACCATCTTACTACATGTAACCTTGTGTCACAAGTCTCGTTTTATACTTGCTAAAAGAACCATCAACTTTGTATTTAATTTTGTAAACCCAATTGTGGGAGAGAGCTCGGTTATAGTCCATGTATAATTAGTTTTAAGAGCTTGAATTTCATCATTCATTGCTTTAACCTAGTGTTATTTTGACAGGCTTCTCTATAGGAGGTTGACTGAGTGTTCATATTAATGTTCATGATTAACCTTTTGAAAGAAAAAGACAACATCTCATTAGATATGTAATTTGTGATGGGGTATGGGATATTGTTGTTAGAATCTATATAGCAATGCGATAATTTTTAAGATAAGTCAGTAATTATTTAACTTTACTTGTCCTTCTAAATCGAGTATCATTAGTAGTGTCAAGATTAGTAAACATTTATGTGTGTCAAGATCATTAAACAATAGTATCATCATAAAAATCAAAACTAGTGGGCATAGAAAGTTGAGTAACAGGTTCATTATCAATATGCTTGGTGGAAGAAAAATGATTCTCATAAAAGTATACATTGCAGGAAACTTTAGCATTCTTAGTTTTGAAGTTATAGATAATATATCTTTTTGTGTTGGGATGTAACTCAAGAAAAATGGCTCGATTAGCAAACTTATCTAACTTCTTCCTATAGGATGTCAGAGTGCTAGCAAAATAAAGACAACAAAAAATACGAAAATTATTTAGGTTAGAGTATTTACCGTGGAGTCTTTCATAAGGCAAGTTGTTGTTTAGGTAGGAGTAGGAATAAAGTTAATAAAATAAATAACATGCTTTAGAGCTAAGCACCAAAAATTCAAGGTGAGGTTATAATGAAACAACATGGCACGAGTGACATTTAAAATATGTTAATGTTTTCTTTGTATAATTTTGTTTTGTTTTAGTGTTTCAATGAAACTAGTTTGGTGAAACAATATCCTTGGAGTCAAAATAATTTTTCATGAGAAATTTGATGTCATTATCTGATTTAACAATCTTAACATGCTTTTCAAATCGTTTTTGCACATAGATGATAAAGTTGATTAAATGGGTTTTATTTTCCCCTTATTCTGCATAAGATAATCCTAAATATATCGAGTGCAATCATCAAGAATAAGAAGAAAATATCTATGACCATGCAAACATACGTCGGGACAGGATCCCTAAATATCAACATGTAAAAGTATGAATGATGTTGAGGTATGTGAGTCACTCATGTTAAAAGGTGTAAGTTTTTCCTTAGCTAAGTGACAAACATTACAAAGTTAGTCAGTTCTTATTGAAATGGATGTAAGAATATTGTTGTTGCATGATGAATAATCATTTGTTGGATAAATGTCCAAGACGGGTATGCCAAGGATTATCATTATCAACAGAAGTGGAGTGGATGGAATGAGATTGGACAATGGAGGTATTAAAGATAAGTTTGCCTCAACGTTAACTAAACTAATCTTCCTTCTGGTTTCCTTGTACTTGATAATGCAAGAATTATCAAAGAAAATAACCCATATTTTAACATAGAGGTTAACTTAGAAACAGAGATAAGATTAAAAGTAGAGATTTCAAAACGGACGATCCAATTTAGTATTTGCAAAGTTAATACTAATAATTATACATAATCATACATGTAATACGATATATATTAGATCAATTATATCCAAATGAGGTATTACGATAATATATTTGTTATTTTTGCATACATCTTTTATTTTCATGTAATATAGTTTTACTTGACTATATAATTTATATGGGATCTATATCGTAGAAGTGTCCTACGAAGGCTATTAAATGTTAAAGTTTTTTTTTGTTTCATGTTCGATTGTACCTCTTATTTATTTTGCAACTGTGGAGTTTCATTAGGCTAATTGTGTCATGAGTCAATTTGGTCTACACCAAAATATTACTCATAATCCAATAAACATATATGAACTTCATAAAGTAGATACGAGTGTAAAATAAACACATTTTGATAATTGATCATCAATCGTGGATTGCATTGTGGAATAACCGATATAATTGACTAATTAAAGGTCAACAATTTCACAAAAATGGACATTTGTATGAAATTACGCCCTACATACAATGGTATTTTCAACGTACCACTTAACAAACACAACGTACAGATGATGAAGTAAATATGAAATATTATTTATTTATTTATATTTGTTATATTTTTTTCCATAAATATTAATTTTACATATTTTTTCATCAGTATGATACAGTACAAGAGGAATAATAATACCAAAAATCTCAATAAACTTATCTACATGTTGATCCATCTACTTATCAACTCAAATTATTAACAAGTTGGTCCATCTAATTTCTAGTATGTTCCATTCTACGATTATGTCGATTATCTTTGAAATCTATATGGGGAACCAACTTCGAGGACATGTCTCTTACACATTTAATATGATGTCTTCTAGATCAAATAGTTTTGCAATCCATGACATTATCTTTAGCTTATCATCAAGTTGGATTCATAAATTATTATGGACCAATAATGTTTACACCTCATAATCCAAATGAGAAAGAATTAATCCAAATGCATAAGAAAGATATGTTCCTCAACAAAATGAAATACATAAACGGAATAGAAGAATACTATCCTGTGTAACAAGCTTTCGACACTTTTTTTTTATTCTTGTATTACATTATTTTGTAACTCTTATATTTATTTTTATTAATATTAAAGTATTTTATTTTTGTTTTAATTATTTTTACATTTTTAATCTTTTCACTTATAAATTTTACATGTTAAAATATGATAAATATATAAACATTATTTTATAATTAAATTGAAACAAAAAAATTGTTGAAATCGTATTATATGACACAATTTTATAAAAAAAATATTTTACACGACTTTGATATTAAAAAAATAAAAAATATCTAAAATTATATTATTTAGCACAATTTTTTTAAAATTATAAAAAAAAATGCGTATTATATAGCACAATCTTTTTATTGGGATATCGTATTAATATGACTTACCCATTTTCTTCAAATTTTTAAATTTTGCACCACTTTAATAATTACGGAATTACACCAATTTAATAAAAAAACCTTCTTCCGAATAATTGGTTTTAGCATGGTATGTTCATCTTATCGTGTTATAAGGATTGAGTTACTCCTCCTAAATGATTTGTCTGTTTGATTTTCTTTCATATTTGTTTTTTTTTTGTATTTTTATTTACAAAAATTATTCTTTAATCATTCAGTTTAGATAAACAAAATATAGTGACCCTTGAGAATATAAGAAATAAGAATAAAAGTTTAGATATTTTTATCATTATCATATTGAAAAAAATATTAAATTACTATTTTTTTATATTAAATTGTTAATGCGTATACATTATATATATATATATAATATGTTTTCTCCAATATAATTATCAATAAATTAAATTATAATTTTAAATATATAAATAACTATTTTTTATATTGTAAATAGTTGACAATTTTTTAATAAAATTTATTATAATAATCATAGATATAACATAATTATGTAAATGATATTTAGATGCGCATTATTTAAATATTAAGTGATTATATATTGTGAAATTTACTGCATTTTAAGATGACATTGTATATTTACACACTTAAACCATAATTTTAAACACTATATTAAATGATAGGTGTTAGAACATGTATACTTTACTGTAAAAAAAATATGATTGATAATATATAATATATATATATATATATATATATATATATATATATATATATATATACCATTATAATTATATTATTTATAATTATAACTATTATTATTAACAATTTTTTTAGGTGTTCAATGCTTTAACGTAATTTTTAATATAAAACTTTTTCTTACAAAATTACGCAATTTTTTCTAAAATATATCTTATATCACAGATAAGAGAAAATATTAAATTTATTAAGATATTTAAAATACTCATTACATTATTATAGTGTGGTAGGATTCAATTAGTTAAAGTAAGAATAGAAATTGTGAATTTTTTTATATTGAAATAGTCACTTAAACGAGACAGATATATAAAAAATACGAGAATAAAGTAGAAAAATTAAAGGAAATTTAATTAAAATAAAGATATTTGATGAAAAAAAAAAGTAAAAGAAATAAAAAATGATATAACGAATCTCAATATTCCTTTTAAATTAATTTTCTTCTTTTCCACACTACATTATTTTCATCTTTCAGTGAACTGTTCTCAACTTATTCGGCTTAGATAAAGGGCTTCCACTTCCTAGCTGTGACTAGTCGGTGTTAAGTACTCTTGCAATACAAGACAACACTGATGATAGGACTTCACATGCACTGTCGAATAATGTCTGTCCTCGAACCTTTCATGCCATCATACATAAGAACTTGTGTCTTTGCTTTTATGCAGCAGAGTAGCTTCAGAACAAGGTGATGATGATGACGATGAAATAATGTTAGAGGTTCCATATTTTTCACAGATATTTTCCTCTTGAGCCTGACCCCATATTACACCATAAAACCCAAAAGCTATTATAGCAGCTCCAATCACACTGCACAACAAATCAAAATCCAACAACTTATTAATTTGGAAAAATCCAACATTATTTCTAGCTATATGTAACATACCTTCCAAGATATAGAGTGTCTCCCAAAAATATATTCCCCATAGCAAGTGCAATGACAATTCCTAAAGGACTGAACATAGCAACATATACAGGTCCCTTTTTTCGACATGCCCATGCATACACCACACTTCGTGTAGACATCACAAAAATGGCCTACAAAAATCATAAAAAACTATATTTGTCAAATAAGGTCCCAAGTGTACAAAATTATTGGTCTGCATAAAATAGTTTGTTATATACTGTACATGAATCCAAACTTACTGAATACAATATGCACACCAATTCCATATCTGGCTTGAGTATCCATGCCTTAGGATTTTCCTCTGCAACAAAAGCTACTATGAAAGATAAGATTACAGAGAAACTGGTAGCAATGGTTGTTAGCATTAGCTCCTCTGGGTAGTCCTTAATTGTCCATGTCTACATAAGAAGGATTCATTTTTGTTATGTGAGGACAAAGTGTCACTGCAGAAAGAAAAACTCATGGAGTAAATTGGTTACCTGGATAACAAGTGAGACTGAAGCAGCAAAGGTACCAGCTGCTAGGAGAAGCCCTCCTAGTATCCATTGTGATTGTTGAGATGGGAGAAATAAATTCACACCACTTGTCATAGGCAAACCTTTGTATAAAGTCACTATTAATGCCCCTCCAATTGAGACCACAGTCCCTATGGTTTTTGCTTGGCAGCTTCTTAGTTTTAGGTCCAATTTTTCCATCCTAACACATCAAAAGCTTCACACATTAGTTGGTTCATAATGATATCACCATGCATTTTAGGAAGTCATGAGTAGATCTTCTACCAACTTCAATTATGTTTTGAACATTTCCTTACGTTTCCTTCACATTTTGTCATCCTTTTCCCTTCGAAGAAAAAAATAAATTATTCACAGGCATCGGTATTGCCTCATTTCATGGTAAAGATTCAAGGTTACACGAAAATTTACACTTTATTTGTACAAAGAATGAATTACGATAATAGAGGTAAAAAATAGAAAGATGAGAATGGAGTGACTTTAAATTAAAATAAGATAATAGTGTTGTTTGACAATATATAAAACAAAATTTGTGTATTTTAGATAAGTGAAAAAATAAGTAGGTTATATGATTTTGATTATATAATAATAATAATAATAATTTAATATCATAACAAATTTAATTTTTATATGATAAAAAGTATTATTTAACATTAAAGCCAAACACACGCACATAAAAACAGCATCACCCTCAAATGTTTATTTTCTTTTAAGAAAACTTAAATACAATATTTGAAAATTTTGAGTAAATAGTGGACTTACCTATTTCTGAATTGGCTGGTTTCCGGTCAAATCAAACAAATGAAAGGTCATTGCTTGAACCTACCGGCATTGCAAGAAATCCTTTTGCCTTGAAATGAACGTAACTTAATAGTAATTTTCCTTGGACAGTAATTTACAACAAAATATGTATCCAAGGTAGTCAATTTATAATTATCAAATATGATTCTCTTAGGCCTCTTTATATAATATGAGATGGATGTGAAAAAAAAAAAAGTGAGAAAAGCAACAAAGAAAAAGAATCAACAAGTATATAAACACGTAACAAAAATAATAAAATTTTCAAAGTTGTTATTTTATAATTTTAAATAAAAACTTTATGGTATCTATAAGTTAAAGGTAGGTTTAGATGAGTTTTATTCATCAGTTTTTATTAAGTGAAAAAAATAGTTTTTTTAATAAATTAAAATTCATTTATATATAAGTTGTTTGTTGAACTTTTCATGTTGTTTTTCTAAATCTTTATTTTTAATTTGTATATAAATTAATTTTAATTGATGAAAAAACCAATTATTTAATTTTGTTTATAAAAAAATTGTCTAAATAGACCATAAAATATTTTAAAATGGTAATTGGAATCTATTATAATTGACGTAGTAATTAAGTTAAAATAATATCCATAAATTTAATTTAAGTGTGACCATCATAATAATAGAAAAAAAAAAGTCGAAGATAGATTGTATTTATGCACATTACGTTTAAGGAGTAGTAGACTCAAATATTTTCTCTTTAAAAGAAAAACACAAATTTGATGAAAAATAAATATTAATTTCTCTCCCATCTCTTTAAAACGGCAATCAAATGAACTTAAAAAAAAAAACAAAAAAAAAAAGTAAACTGTTCCTCTTGTTCTTCATCGTTTGGTTAATTCTCTCTTCATAGTCCTTTCATTTCATTCATCTGGTCTCTGTTCCTATTTTTGAAGTTTTTTTTTTTTTTTTAGATTAACAGAAAAGAATTGGAAACAAACCTGAAAACAACGGCAATTAAGAAAGTAAAAGCTGGAAGTAGATCTTCTATGGCTGAGGTGAGAGTGGGGGAGCTATATCCAAGCCCAGTATAAATAAGCGTCTGAATGAGAACGCTAACACGAGAAGAAAACCACATACGTTATAAAGACCAAAGATTACACGCGAACAAAAGAAAAATTTAATGTTGTCGGAATTACAGTACCTGAGGAAGCCGATGAGAAAAGTTCTGAAGAGAATGGAGCTGTTGAGCGGTTTGGGAGGTGTGTTCCTGTAATGAAAGGTAGTTGCAAGTAGCAGGAGACAAAATCCGAAGAGGTTTGAATAGGCGGCGAAAACGAAATTGCTCATGCCTTTAGACATGCTTGCTTTGACGAGAGTGGTCAAACCCACACTCAAGAACAGCAACACAACCATCACTGTCGTTACCTCTGCGCCCTGCATAATTTAGGTCACTGCTTCCTCGCCTTCTTTCTTCAAACAATGTGTGTTGAGTTTGTGTTGCTTTGCGTGTTGTTCTTCAATGTAGATTACGAACACGTGTGACTATCGAGTTTGGATGGCTTCTTTTACCTTAATCAGGTCATTTATTTTTTAAAACAATACCACCCACTAAAATAGATAGTTTTTAAAAAAATATATTTTTAAGTCACCAGTCAAATCAATTATCTTGTGTTTGGCTCCCATTTATAAAAAATAATTCATTCTAACAAGATAGTCAAAATATTTTATTGATGATAAAATTATTCGTTCGGTTAATAGAATTTGAAAAATAAATAAAATTTAAAAAAATATTATAATTACTTAAAATAAAAGAATTTTAAATTCTACCTAATGATAAAAAATTAAAATTATTCGTTTCTTATATTTTTTTCTTCGTATTTTCTCTTCTATGTAATTTTATTTGTTATAATTTTTTATTCATCTTGATCCATTTTAATATGGGTTAATTCAATTCAACTCAAACAACCATGATCTAATTCATTCTGATTTGATCTAATTTAAACCAATCCAATACATTTTGACCACACTTAAACAATCTCGACTTAATCGTTTTTTTATCTAGTTTATCTTATAGTAATTTACCCTAACTTATCTTAACCTAATTCAACTCATCCTAACCTAAAATATTTTCACTAGATCCAACCTTTTTTTATCATATTTGATTCAACTATCTAATGTATGTTTGACCCACCCCGACCTATCTACCTAAAGTAAGTATGACCCGCCCTAAGATACTAATTTTAGTTTGGTCTTATTCATCTTGCTTTGGTTTCTCCTAACCTAATACATTTTGTCTAGATTTAACCCAACTTATTTCATCTTGATCTATCCTATTGAATTAAGACTTGACTTGTCCGTCTCAACCCAACTTGATGTTTGATTCATCTTGACTCGGTCTAACTTATTCCAACATGTCAATCTAACCTAACTTGACCCAAACTTCCCAACCTAGTATAATTTATGTTAACTAAACCTGACTTTACTAGTCTTTGTCACGATTTAACTTGACTCGATCTATCTTATTCCAACTTAACTCATGTAGAAAAGGGGTCAAATACTATGAGTTGAACTTAATTCATAAATTGAAATATCTTTTTTAAACAAATAATTTAAAAAAATAAATCATTTAAATTTAAAGCAATTCAAATACAATGTATTTGAATTTTCTAAATATTACAAAATACTTTATTCAAACATGGTTGATACTTGATAAAATCTATCTCGAGGTGACATATTGTGATGAAATCTCCCTGTCAACTAAAAATACAATAACATTATAATATATAAATAAAATATAAATCTCACTTTATAAGTCGATTCTATAGATTGAGGTAGGTACCTCTTAATTCTTAATATAATATCATAGTTAACTATGATTATATAACATTATTAGTTGATGGTTGTTAAAATAAACTAAGTGTTATCAAACTAATATTAGATCACTCAACGTCGATGTGATGAAATTATAATATATAAGTAAAATAAAAACTTCATCAAAATTGGTTTTATAGAATTAAATTAAATATATCTTAATTGTCAATCCTTATAGCTTTTTAAAACCAATAATTAAACTGATGCAAATGATGTTTGTACTTCAATTTAACAATTGGTTGATATTTTTTTATCCTTATGGAGTTAAAAGAGAGCTTATTTACCGTGTATATATTCTTTCTAAGACTCTTACAATTAAAAAAAAGGAAGTTATGAGTAAGTTGCGTTCTAATGCACAACTCTTACAAGCAGTGCGAAATTATTAAAAAATAATAAATAAATAATAAATAAATATAAAATGGTGAAAGAAGACAAAAGAGTGAAAAAATAAAATTATAAATGTATAAGTTAATATATAAAATAATCATTAAGTTTTGGGGATAAAATCATAAATTATGAGAGTTACAAAGCTGAGAAGATAAAATTGTAAATATACAAGTAAATATATTAAAGTTTGGGGGACCAAAATCATAAATTACATGGAAGTTACAAAACTTTGGGAGTTACTCGTCCCCCTTAATTCCCGAGAAGATTAGCTCGCTTATAAGGAAAAAGAAATCGTATTTTAAAACATGACTCTCATTTTTTATATATTTTTTTGTATATGAAATAATTTTTGATAACTTTAGTTGAATATATTTTTTTTATTAAAGTCCTTGGTTGTTATTTTTTTAGGTTTATTTTTTATTTTTTAATTATTGAAAGTTTTATTTTAATATTTATAATTAATAAAATTAAAAACTATTAGGTATTTAAACATGCATAATGTTAAATAGATTAAATTGTTAAAAAGAAAATATTAATATGGTGATAAAGGAAATAAAAATAATAATTATATAGAAAATGAAATTTTATATTTTCATTATTGATAAAGATACTTATCACGATGAAGATCTTTTCATTATGATAAAATGAACTTTTTTTTGTTTATTTGGAATAGGTTGATCATTCCTACAGTGAATAAGATTTGTGGTTGGTCGTCCTTATGATTGTTGTCGGTGCAAGCCTAGATTAGGAATAAATTTTGGATTTAATTAAGGAGGCCAATAATCTTGATTCTGAACATGATAAAATTGCACTTCATAAGCCTTATAAATACTTTGTAGCAGGTATGTCAGGTCAACATATATGTCAATTTATAAATAACAAAATGAGCAAACAACAATGACATGAGAGTAAGAAAGTCAGATATATTGAAACTCCTCTCGATCACACCATCAGACATTTTATTTTATTGTATAGTTTACAGGACATCTATGACGTTAGAGATTTGATATCTCTTGAAATCAAACTCACAATTTTCTCGATTGTAATTTTGAACATTATACATGTGTGCACGTCATACCTCATAGTATTCAATTTAATTATTAGTTTAGGTTATTTCATCTCATATGCTACTCAATAATAAGAATTTATATGAGTTAGTAATAAATGAAATTAAAAGTGAAATTAAATACTAATAAAAGTGAAATATATTACCCATATTAATAACTAGTTTCAATTCCACATTTTTTAATTTCTTATTGAAGTTTTAAGCAATATGTCGAATGTAGTACACTAATGGAAGACCATTTATATCCTATCCAATACCTTCAAAGTGTAAGACAGACAATATTGTTTTTCCTCTATATGTTATCAAACACAAGTTCGGTTGAGGTGTTACACATTGTCTCAAAAGCTAGAAAAATCATAACAAATTATCATTTATCTCTCCTTCAACTTAGAGGATAAGATGTTTTGATTCCTATTGGAAGAAAAATGCACCAAAAAACTTAAACTACAAAAAGGAAAAAAAACAAATTCAAAACATTAGGTTGTCTCCCATGAGCGTTTGTTTAACGTCTTCCGCTCGACGCCTATTTGCTTTAGGGCTCATGCAGGTGAGTGATCAAGGTGATATATACGCATTCTCCATCCCTTGACTGTCCTTGTGGGAATGAATTTATTCTTCTCATTGCGAATAACCTTACAATTGTCAGAGATTGGATAAATCATACCTGCTTCAGGAAGTTTCACTACCTCTCTTTGAATAACTTCATTCATAGTCAGACTAAGATGTCTTTGGGATTGTGCAACAGGCTTGTAATCTTGTTTTTCAGTTGAGATGGGTAATTCCTCCAAAGTATCTATTCTGAGGCAATCTTTCTTGTCTTCCGGTTGTTGTACAACTTTAAACAGATTAAAATTAACTTCATCATCTCCACTTCTAATTTTCAACTTGCCCATGTCAACATCTATAATTACTTTGACAGTCTTCATAAATGGCCTTCCCAGGATCAATGGAACTTCCTCATTTTCCTCCATGTCCATAATCACAAAATCAACAGGAAATATGAATTTATCCACTCTAACTAAAACATTTTCTGCTACTCCATAAGGAATCTTTAGAGATTTGTCAACTAGCTGTAGTGTCATTCTTGTAGGCTTTACTTCCAAGTCTCCTATTCTTTTAAGCATAGACAAAGGCATTAGATTTATACTAGCACCCAAATCGAGTAATGCCTTACCTACTTGTAATGTCCCAATTGCGACTGGTATAGTGAAACTTCCAGGATCCTTGGACTTTTGAGACAATGATTTTTGAATTATAGCATTGCATCATGCTTCTAGCTCCACTGTTTCTGTAGTAAATCTCATTTTCTTAGTTAACAACTCTTTCATGAATTTTGCATAAGTCGGCATCTGCTTCATAGCTGCCATAAATGGAATATTAATCTGTAAATGCTTGAAAATATCCATGAATCTTGCAAACTGTCTTTCTTTATCTTTCTTGGAAGGATGACGAGGATATGGTAAATCATTTAATTGCGGTATTTGACTATCATCTTTCTCCCTCTTTTTCTCACTCTTTTTATTTTTCTTTTCTTTTTCAGTATTTTTTTCTTTTTCTATACTCTCACTTTTATTTTTCTCTTTTTCTCCTTCACACTCATCTTCTTTTTCTTGTAGGATTTCCTTCTCTACAGCTAGATTCTCACCAATACCTTCTCCTATAACCTTACCACTCCTTGTAGTTATTGAATTGCATTGCTCCCTGGGGTTGGTTTGTGTTTTAGCTGAAAACTGTCCTCCTTGTTGCTGCTCAGATAATTGCTTAGCTAGTTGGCCTATCTGGATCTCTATATTTCTGAATGAAGCCTCAGTATTTTTCTGATTAGCCATAGTGCCTTGCATGAATTTTTCTAAAGTATCCTCCAATTTACTTATTCAATCAGGCACTGAAGGATAATTTTGTTGCTGATGTTGATATGAAAGTTGTTGATATGACTGTTGTTAAAATGTAGGTTGTCTAGTAGATGAGCTAACACCTTGGTTCCACCCAAAATTCTGATTCTGATTTTGATTCCCTCTCCATCCTTGTGCAAAATTATTCTGATAATTATTGGGATTAGGAAAATTGTCTTGTCTGCCTTAACTACTAC